GCAGAAGGTGTCCCAATATTGGATCAGAGTTTGGCATTGTCCAAGAAATTTGAGACAGAAGTGAAGGAAGTGGAGGTAATCAGTGATACCATTGAGGTGGACCCTACAATCCCTACAGAGTTGGGCAATGAGTTGATTAATCTAGCAGGTAAAGAGGCTTTAATATCAATAAGTCTAGCAGATTCTGGGGTGGCTTTGAGTTCCTCTGGCCCTGAGGAAGTTCTGAGTCCAGGAGAAGCTGATATATTGACCAGTCCTACAAGTCCAGATATATGTCTGAGTCGAGTTGAGACAGACGTGTTAATGAGCATGACCGATGACCAACTGTTTTTCCCAGTTGATTTGGAAGATGATGTTGGGATTCCTGAGTTACTTCTTCCAAATGGGGAAGAAGATGATGAGGACGCATGTCTTAGTCTAACTGAAGCAAATGTACATGTGAGACCAGTTGAGAAGTATATTCTGTCAACAAAAGACGAAGGCCAATCATTGTTGTTTGGTGGAGATGAAGAAGGAGAAAGGAATACCAAAGTCATTGTGTCTGACAGAAAGGGTTTGTTTTTTACACCGCTTGAAGATAACAAAGAAAGAGAAGACACTTCGAGTGGTACAAACATTGGTTCTAGTACTCAGGTCAGCAGGAATCCGAAAGATTCAAAGTTTGGAGAGCCAGATATTCAGAGTATCATAGCAGACAAAGAGGAACAGCTTGGTTTTGGAGGTCTGTATAGGAAAGGTGTAAGAGATGTAGAAAGTAGTGTTGCAGATGAAGATAAGAAAGAGAGTATGGAAAGTGATGAGATGGCACAAGGAAAAAGTGATAGGCGAGTTGTGAGTAAGCCAGGTAATAGTGAAAGCTTTGAAAGTCAAAAGGAAGGCGCCACCTTGAATAGTGTGGCTCGCAAATCAGAGGCAATGCTTGTTAGCAGCAGTGGTAACACACAGGCTGTTACAGCAGGGGGAAGATTTGTACGTGGTAGCGGGGAACGGACAGTTTATGGTGGAAGCTTGGGATGTACAAGTACCAGCACAACAGGCGATGAAAAAAAACAGTTAGTGTCCATGGTCCCTGAAACAAGCCAATCAGATACAGGCAGGTTTGGCAGTAGAGGAAGTCGGGAGTGGATGGTTTATGGTGGTAGTCTTAAACGTAAGAGCAGCCTGGATGATAGAGCAGGTGAGCGGAATGAAGAACTCCCATCGGTGGACTCCAAGCTTGCAACAAGTGCACCAGAAACAGGGAGACTTGGAAAGAGGGGAAGTGGAGAGTGGATAGTTTATAGAGGTAGTCTTGGGCGTAAGACTGGACAGGATGTTGCAAGCACCTTATCCAGCAAGGGGAATGAAGAAAAGAAAGAAACAGGAAGGTTTGGCAGTAGAGGAAGTGGGGAGTGGATGGTTTATGGAAGTCGTAAAAGCAACCCGGCAGGCAGCAATAGCTTGCCAAACACAGAGACCAAAGAATACCAACCAACGACCATGAACCTGTCAGCAAGCCCATTAGAAACAGGGAAGTTTAACAGCAGAGAAAGTGGACAGTGGAGAGTTTATGGTGGACAAATGAGCAGCCGGGCTGGCAACAATGGTCTACCCAGTACAGAGAGGGAAGGAAGCCCATCAGTGGCGATGCAGAGAGCATTCAGTCC